GCATTCAAGGAGTCAATGTCTTTTAAGGCAGACACAGCTGCCTTGTCTGCCACCACCCTCTCTTTCAGGGCCTGTAGCTCCTCCTGAAGAGATTCCATCTTCACCGTTCGCACCGTCCACTCCAGCTGACGACCCCGGCTCTTGTAGCTGTGTAGACTTTGTGAGACCCACTGCCTTGGTCTAAAATCTATTGCCTTTGCACCAGTCCTGCCCCTCCAGCACTAGGCCCAACCAAACTGTCACTGCCTAATTGTACCCTACTCACAGCGCCAAACTGTAGCACCCCGTTGCCACAGAGACCCGGTTCAAAACACCGTAAAAGGCACATACACACAGGAAGCAGTGTTATGAAAATATAAATATTTTATTGGTACAAATATAACTAGGTGGAGTAACCAGTGACAGCTGGTTTAGCGGGCAGGAGGAGTTCACAGTACTTTGATGTTCAGTGGTGAAAGACAAAGGACGCGATTTGCCAGCAGTTGCATCTTTTCACCTAATCAGGGCCCGTGCACCCCATTACCGGTCCGGCGGACCCAATAGTTTCACCTGGTTACACTATGCCTTACAAAGCATTTATTAATGACATTGAAAGGCCATCACTGCCTCAAAACCCATAATCTTTCAACAGAAAAGACAAATGGACACAACACAAAGTGATCAATAACATATCAATATTTATTGCAAGATGCAAACAATGTACTGTTAAATACAAACCCCTCAGGCATTCATTCATGTAAAAAACAAACAAAGACATTCTCCTTCAGGAGAACATGGCTGGATATAAAACATTCGTAAATATACGACTGGAGCTAACCAGGAGCTTTGCATATTAGTTGACATTTACTTATTTAATTATTCATTTTAACCAAGCATATCGATCTGCACTGTTCGCACTTTCCTTCAGTTGCATATCCCGATGGCAGCCCGCCGAATCTGCTCATTGTTTGCAATAAGCGGAATAGATCGAAATCGAGCGAAATCCCGCTTTCAATAAGTTATCAATGTGAGACGGATAAAGGAAAAGACCGCTTCATACATCAATGTGGGACAAACATTTCTCTCAGGAACTGATACGGAAGTGCACTTACACGATGGAAAACTCCGACCTAAGTTGAAAGGGCGCGCGGACACGGGCCAGAAGGAATGACTGCTGACGGGCCTCCAATGCCCGTCAGTATGTTTCTTAGTTTGCTGGCACGTCCACATTATGTATGATGAGTATCTAGCTAGCACTAGAGGTCCTGAGACAGGCGCACGCCAACGCGTCACCTCCTTTGTAAATAGAGCAATCCAGGTGACAGATGGCTAACTGTACCATAACGACAATGTTAGATGACCATTTATCTGTTTATATGAGTGGCGTGAATGAGATCGATATACTTGGTATAAAATGAATAATTAAATAAGTAAATGTAAACTAATACGCAAAGCTCCTGGTTAGCTCCAGTTGTACATTTACAAATGTTTTATATCCAGCCATGTTCTCCTGAAGAAGAATGTCTTTGTTTGTTTTTTACATGAATGAATGCCTGAGGGGTTTGTATTTAACAGTACATTGTTTGCATCTTGCAATAAATATTGATATGTTATTGATCACTTTGTGTTGTGTCCATTTGTCTTTTCTGTTGAAAGATTATGGGTTTTGAGGCAGTGATGGCCTTTCAATGTCATTTATAAATGCTTTGTAAGGCATAAATAGTCCTAACTTTAGACGAGGTCACACAAAACACTTTACTAACGAGTAGTAACTAAGTTAATTAATCATGAATTAACCATAAATTGCAGTATTAATACGAGTTTATAAAGCATATATTAACAGTCCCTAACCATTAGTGCATATCTAAAGCATATCTAAATGGATGAATAATTTACATCTAAATATGTTCTTATCATTTACTTACACTTTATAAATGATCTTATTAATCATCTACAACTCCTTAATAATTGGTTTGTGTTTTTCACACACACGCACACACGCACACACGCACACACGCACACACGCACACACGCACGCACGCACGCACACACGCACGCACACAAATGGGGAATCCATCATTTATAAAGTATGAAAACACAATCATGAAACAGATAATAGAAGAGCTTATTAATCAAGAATAAAACATTCATAACTGTTGTTATGAATTGCATACTAATGAGTGTTAATATAGGAACAATACTTTATAAAGGATGAATTAAGTGTTCACTCATACTTAACTTGTCACGATTCTGGGGCAGATCAGAGACTCAAGCGCAGACAGACACTGGAGACGAGGTGAAGTTGAAAACAAGGTCTTTTACTTGTCACCGGAAAACCGGAAAAAGGCAAAATCACAAAAAAGGCAAAGTCACAAAAAAAAGGCAAAGTCACAAAAAAAAGACAAAGTCACAAACCATGGAACGTAGAGAGAGACAACACGAGGGATAAACACTGGAGACACGACGAGCACACGGGGAGGCGCAAGGCTGGAACATGAAGCACACGGGGGAACAAACAAAGACAATCTGACAACCAGAACAGGGAAAGCAGGGGAGTATATATGTGTCGGGTGATGAGTAGATTGCAGGCAGGTGAGTTGAATGAGTGCAGCTTTGGCTTGGCAGGGGCAGGTGATTGAGCACAGGTGAAGTGAATGAAAGCAATCAGGAGACACTCAGACACAGAGGGTACATCTCAAGTCTCTTAATTGCATCCCCATTTCCCTCACTTGGGTCCTTTCCTTACGTCTTAGTCCCTCCCACCAGGGATGCATGGAGGAAACCATGCAAGGAGAGAGGAAATATGTTTTAAGAGACGAGACGTCCTTTCCTCAGTTGCGTCACGTGAAACGACGTCTGTTTCTGATGACGGAGGATCAGTTGATCACAGCTGGATCAGCTGTCAGTCGGCTTTAACAGCTGGAGAGACTTTTGATAAGTTTGTGTCTGTTCACATGATCACTGTACTTAATAATAGTAACTAATAATACTAATAACTAATAAAGACACAGTAATCACCACTGTAGAGGTGTTTCTCTCTGTAGTCTGTTAACAAACTGTGTTCTGTGTTCTGTTTATAAGCGCAGGATCGATTTCTACTGGCGGAATGCGATCGTCTTATTTATGAATTATTTGCGTCTGTACGTTTTGAAATTGTGACTGTGGCATAATTATTAAATAACCCAGAATATGATTATTGTTTCTCTTAAATGATAAAACTCATCAAACACTCAGGAATGATGTAAAAAGTGTTTGGTCTCCCCAGCTCTCTCTGACTTTAATTGTATTCATAATAAAAGTTATTGAGGGAAATATCAGATCAAGAAAACACATCTTTCTAATAAATGAAGAAAGTTGTTTGTGGTCGTTTTGTTGTTCAGACTACAATGAACATATATTTAAACCAGATGTTGAATCAGAAACCTAATCAAATATAAAGCTTGAGTTTATTCTGTGATCCGTCTTCACTCTGGTATGAAACTCCAGTCAGTCAGTCCAATTGGCTGCAGCGTCCAATCACATAACTGATGAACAATGAGGGGGCGTGTCGGCCGTTAAAAGACTTCCTGGAAGTCTGTTGTTATGGTTCCTCACTCATGGCTCCCCCGAGGTCCCTCCTCCATCCTCGATCCTCGCTCCTTAAAGCTACATTAGAGCTTTGGGATGGCCGTCAATACGGCGGCGCAGAAAGAACTTCCGGTTCAAGTGAGGATCGAGGAGCGAGGAAACGACAATTAAGAGACTTGAGAAGTACCCAGAGACACAGGAGGGAGCCGGGAGGAGACCAGGGGCGGAGCCACACAGAGACACAGGAACACAGGGGGCAAAGCATAAACCGTGACATAACTAATGCTTCATAGTGTGTAGTTATTATAAAGTGTTACCAAAATATTTAGTCCAAAACACATTATTGCGTCAACAAATACCCACGGACTGCTGTTGCATCATTTCAAATTAGCCGGCAGATATGCCTAATTATTTATGTATTTCCCAACGTAACTCCCGTTCGCATGTAAATATTGCCGGTATCTGGGTCTCAAAATGGCGGATGCACTCTGACGTTTCGATTGACACTTCATTTGACCCAATAGGAGCTTCCATGTCCTGTCCACAGCCTACAATAGCCAACGAGAGTCCGCGTTGAAGGAAAGGGCCTGCCCCTCTTCTTTCGTGTAAAGCTTTAGCCAATTGCAACCGATCATTCTGATGACTGACGCTTCATATAGCCAATGAAATTTCGAAAATAACGATATACAGCTTCAGGGGTTAGAGTTAGAGGCAGAACACGGAAGTAACTACATAACCGCGAGTCAGCTCCCTGCGTTCCTGGGTAAAATGCAAAGTGTGGTTTTTGAAAGTTTTGGAGACTTTAGGAAAGTGAATAATGGTGAAATGACTTATAGATTACTGTATTTCAACATAAATAAGCTCTAGTTTGAATTATGAATACACATTTTTACACAGCCTAGGTATGTTACCATGGGTCTCCAAATGGTCTTTTTTGAAATACGCCTAGACATACCCTTAGAGAATGTGTAATATATTAATTTTCTGTGGTATTGTTATCAAATTTGAACTTGTACTAGGTAAAGCTTCATGCTGCGGTCCCATTGTGTTTTCCAGCTAATAAGTCCCAGGTATAGTCATCTGCAGGCATCTGTTTGCAAAAAAATATTCAGGCGGAAATAAAAACCTTCTACTTCAGTGTGTTCAAACTTCTATTACTCAATGCCAGTAGCACTTACAGTGATTCTGACTGTTGGGGAAAAAACGTCAGAGGGTTACCTTTCGAAAGAGACCAAAACCATGCATGTACTCCAAATGGTTCAAGAACAGCTTTCAATTTACTTTGGGTATGCCTTGGATAGGCGTTTTAGGCTAATTTTACTGGAGTGGTAACAGGCATGACGCAGAACTGTTTTTTTTTTTTTCATGGTTTCCTACTATATTCAATTGAAATGTAATTGACGTTCAATTACTCTGTTCTCCAAATGGAAGATGACTTTTATCCCGGTTGGCAGATGGAGGACCTGGAGAAAACACAGCGTCTGCAAGAGATCCAGGCCAAGCTGGACCCACGGGCTGAGACCAAAGTAAGAGATGGTGGAATTTTCAAAACTGGAGAGTTGTTTCGCCGGAGACTTGTCCATGATGGGACCCTTTTCTGGAAAACCCCAGGATCCCGACTCAAAGGTATGCAACGCTGTGAAAACCTTAGTCTGTGTGTAAAGTAAGTAGTATGTAGTAAGGTAGTAAAGTATAAGTATTTAGTATGTAGGACTGCACAGAAGGATGTCTTGTAGGCTCAATCTGGCTCTAAGGCTCCCCGAAACAAGGGCTTACTGTATTATCATGGCTACCTCCCTGAGCTACTACTGCAACAACTGCATGTAATAGCTGCTAACTTGCCAAATGACTATGGTTGACACGGTCGCTAACACACAGTGAGGAACGCAGTATAATTACAGGAAGATATTAAAGCTACAGTTAGTTACTATAATGAAATTTACTTTTTGTCCAGCATATCATCTTTACAAAGCAAGTTTACAGATGGAGATTGATGACTCGTCTGCTCATAGTAGGTTTACAGGTTTACATTAAGTCTCATAGGCAAGACCATTAAACAAAAAAAATTATAAAACATGTGGAGAGTTGTATTTATATACATATACATATATATACATATACACATATATACACATATACATATATATACACATATACACATATATACATATATATACATATATATATACACATATATATATATATATACATATATATATACATATATATACACATATATATATACACATATATATATACACACATATATATATACACACATATATATATACACACATATATATATA